AAAAAAAAAAAAAAAAAAGAGTAAGGTTTTTCAAGTAAGTGAATGGCGAATGGAGTTTTTTCCAGGACCAGGTGTATGGAATTGTGAAAATACTTGGTTTCAAAGGTGGGGGTGGCAGCAGCTGAAAACCCTTTTATGTAAAGTCTCCAATGTCAGGCATAGTATGGCTAGGCTCTTTCCATCTGTGATTCCAAGCAATCCTCAAAACACCATGAAGTAGGTATCATCACCCCAAGTTCTAAGATAAGGAGCTTGACGCTCAATGTGTTTACATATCTTGTCTCAAATTAGGAAGTGGCAACGCCCTGGCTTTCCATGTGACACCACATGGCTGAGGCAGGAACTCACTGGGAGCTGTTTCTGGGTGACTGAACAGATGGCTGAGAGGGAGCCACTCAACCAGGGTTTGGCCACAGCCTGCTGTGACAGGCGCTGTGGGTACTGCTACAAGGGATATACCTCCCTCTGTGCTGAATGGATGCGGCCCTACACTCAGTGGGGGGGTCAGCTCTCAATCTCCAGAGGCTCAGTGGCTTGCAGCAGGCCAGGCAGAGGCCTAGCCTATGGATGAGCCTTTCCCGGGAGCAGCCCCTATGAGGGGCTGGTCTGTCTCTGTCAGAGCAGGAAAAGGGGGGGACTACCAAAGACTGACTGGGACTTTACTAGGGATAGGACCAAAAATAAAAGCCTTTTGTCAGTGAAACGGTCACCCCTGCAGACCCTGGCCTGGCAGCACAGGCGGTGCAAAGGTGCTGAAAGACACATACAGAGCAGGGTCCCCAACCCCTGGGCTGCAGACTGGCACCGGTCCATGGCCTGTTAGGAACTGGGCCCCACAGGTGGGCGGCAGGTGAGCAAACATGACTGCCTGAGCACTGCCTCCTGATACTCAGAGGGCTCGCTTGCCTGTATCATTAGATTCTTATAGGCAAGTGAGCCCTATTGTGAATTGGGCATGTGAGGGATCCAGGTTGAAAATCTAGTTTTGGCCGGGCGCGGTGGCTCACGCCTGTAATCCCAGCACTTTGGGAGGCCGAGGCAATTTCTTAAAGCATTTCACTTTACTGTGTTTCTGTTAATGGACATATACAGTACTTGCAGCTTCAAAAGTAAATTGCCTCACCTGCACTATTTTGGTGAGTTGGATTCAGCTGGAACAACTGCTTATATCAACCTTGTCCCACTGCATGGTTTTAAAAAAACATCTGGGGATGTGTTTGGAAAGGCCATGTAGCAATGAAGTGTTAAACATTTTCATAAACCAGTGCTTCCCAACTTTTCCCAAAGAATAATAAAAACTTTTAGAAACAAAGCCTAGGGCTCCAGTGTGTGGGTAAAATTCCTTTGCTGCCAAATGTTTCTAGATCTTTAGATTCCTCCCTGCACTCCCCACCTGCTTGTGCTGCATGTACAGAGGGTGCCTCACTCAGGCCTTCTGATGGGCTTGTCTCCACCCGCCCACACTAGTCAGCGCCTCTCACCGCAGGGCCAGGAAGGGAGGAACAGATTCTGCCCTCCTCCCTTCCCACCATCCCAAGCCAGGGCAGGTTCCGGAAAGGAAGGGCTTGATTAATGAGCAGGTGTTGCCGCTGGAGGCCTGTATGTCCCACACTCCAGAGCTGGCCTTACCTCAGCGGCACCTGACGAGATTTTTCCCAAGCTGTTTCCCTGGCAGGGTGGGCACAGAGGAACAGACATTATCTGGACACCTGCCTGCTCCTAAAGTATTGGCAGCAAACTGGGGGGTGACTAGATCAAGTCCTGAGGGCCTCAGTGGGAGGGAAGTTTCAGGGCCTTGTCAGATAGGGATGCTCTAGGTCTCTTGCGTGCCCTCTCCTGTGGCCCTGCTCCCACTGTCCTCCTGCAGGCAAGGTATGTGGAAGATGCTGGCAGGGGCCGAGTGCGGGCACAGGCAGTGATGAGACTCAACACAAGTGGGCAATGTCAGCAGACAGCCGGAGAGGGTAGCAGTTGGGTACCATTTGGCAAGGTCTTCCCTTTTTATCCAGTCTCTAATCACAATGCTATACAAAATATGAGGGAGGGGAGTAAAGGCCAGAATCTCATCAGGATTAGAAGTGGCCCTGGCAAGGGACTCTGCTGTTGACTTCCAGAACAGTTTTCTCTCAGGAGAAAGGGCTTTCAGGCCAGGTATGGTGGCTCACACCTTAATCCTGGCACTTTGGGAAGCTGAGGCCAGTGGATCGCTTCAGTTCAGGAATTCAAGACCAGCCTGGGCAACAGCGAGACCTCATCTCATAAAATAAACAAAATTAGCCAGGCATGGTGGTGCACATCTGTAGTCCCAGCTACTTGAGAGGTTGAGGCTGCAGTGAGCTGAGATTGCACCACTGCACTCCAGCCTGGGCAACAGAGCGAGACCCTCTCTTGGAAAAAAAAAAAAAAAAAAGAGTAAGGTTTTTCAAGTAAGTGAATGGCGAATGGAGTTTTTTCCAGGACCAGGTGTATGGAATTGTGAAAATACTTGGTTTCAAAGGTGGGGGTGGCAGCAGCTGAAAACCCTTTTATGTAAAGTCTCCAATGTCAGGCATAGTATGGCTAGGCTCTTTCCATCTGTGATTCCAAGCAATCCTCAAAACACCATGAAGTAGGTATCATCACCCCAAGTTCTAAGATAAGGAGCTTGACGCTCAATGTGTTTACATATCTTGTCTCAAATTAGGAAGTGGCAACGCCCTGGCTTTCCATGTGACACCACATGGCTGAGGCAGGAACTCACTGGGAGCTGTTTCTGGGTGACTGAACAGATGGCTGAGAGGGAGCCACTCAACCAGGGTTTGGCCACAGCCTGCTGTGACAGGCGCTGTGGGTACTGCTACAAGGGATATACCTCCCTCTGTGCTGAATGGATGCGGCCCTACACTCAGTGGGGGGGTCAGCTCTCAATCTCCAGAGGCTCAGTGGCTTGCAGCAGGCCAGGCAGAGGCCTAGCCTATGGATGAGCCTTTCCCGGGAGCAGCCCCTATGAGGGGCTGGTCTGTCTCTGTCAGAGCAGGAAAAGGGGGGGACTACCAAAGACTGACTGGGACTTTACTAGGGATAGGACCAAAAATAAAAGCCTTTTGTCAGTGAAACGGTCACCCCTGCA